CTATGATTTAGCCGAGTTTGCCAGGCTGGGAAAGGAAGATGTGCGGTGAGGTTGCCTGTGGGGCCGATGGTCAGGACCTGGCCAGAATGCACACCACCGTGTGGTAACTACTGAGAGTGCCACAGGGGGCTGATAGGCTTTACCATGCAGTTTCTGCCTACCGTCTCTGGGAACTACGTTTCCAAGGCTCTGCCCAGTGTTCTACCCTTCCTACACTTGCCTAGCTAACCTTGGTGTCTTCATCTTTTTATGTGTATGTGTGTTTTGCCTTACTGTATATCTGTGCACCAAGTGGGTGCTTTGTGTCCTCAGACGCCAGCAGAGGGCTTCGGCTCTTCTGGGACTGGAGTTACAGACAGTTGTGAGCGCCCGGAATTGAACCCAGTCCTCTGGAAGAGCAGTCAGTGCTCTTAACTGCTGAGCTGTCTGTCCAGACCCAATGTCCTCATCTTAACTTGGCTGTATGAGGGTTCAGTGAAGAGGGGCAGGGAGGTGGCGCAGCACGGGAGAGCCCTTGCTGCCACGCCTGCAAGACATCAGTTTGATTTCCAGAACGCACAAGGTGGAAGAAGGGAACCAACTTCCATTCTCATGGCATGGCACCCCCATAAACAAGTGAATCAATGCATATAATTTTTAAAAGTTAGAGAATTCAGCTGCTGGGGACTGCGGGAAGGAGTTTAGCCGAGCCCCTTGCCTGGGCTCAATGACACACGGTGGCTGTGGTTCAGCTGAGTCCAAGAACTCTGGCCCGAGGAGCGGGCGGCCTGAGCCAGCTCTCGGTCCCCAGGACGCAGAGACCACTTATTTCTGCAACACCTGCGGGCAGCCGCTGTGCGCACGCTGCCGCGAAGAAACGCACCGCGCGCGCATGTTTGCAAGGCATGACATTGTAGCCCTGGGCCAGCGCCCCCGCGATGTGATCCAGAAGTGTCGTGAGTGAGGCACACCCTGGCCAGGGGTGGGAACCAGGTGGTCATGTCTCAGGGACTCTCATCACCGCCCCCGCCCTCTCCGCAGCGCTCCATTCGGAGCCCTACATCATGTTTTCCACCGACAAGAAGTCGCTGCTATGCATCCGCTGCTTTCGGGACATGCAGGGGTGGGTAGTGGGAGCACGCAGGGAGTGGGCGGGGCGTGGGTGGAACGGGTCTTATAAACTGCCTCTCGGCAGGGAGAGCCGGGCCCACTGTGTGGACCTGGAGTCAGCATACGTTCAAGGTTGCGAGAGGCTGGAACAGGCAGTGCTGGTGAGAGGGGGAACCAGGGAGCTGAAGCAGGGTGGGGGTGGGAGCTGGGAGATCCTGGGAGAATGGGACTGAGACCCTGCTGTCCCCAGGCAGTGAAAGCTCTGCAGACAGCCACGAAGGAGGCCATCGCGCTGCTACAGGCCATGGTGGAGGAGGTGAGGCACAGCGCAGCTGAGGAGGAGGCGGCGATCCACGCCCTCTTTGGCAGCATGCAGGTGAGGGGTGGGGTCAGTAATTTCCCAAGTACCTTCCCGGAGTGTACAGTGTAGTGCCAGGTGTTCCATCAAATTGAGTTAATCACAGTTGCCTGGAGAGTTGCCAGAGGCTAGCCTAGTCTGGAGTTAGGTTGGTGGCAGGGTCTAGGAAGAGTGTACAAACGGTGACACTTAAGGTTCAGGTGCCCATGCCCCGAGGCGTTATGGTAGGACATGACAGAGCCAGGTGTGCAGGTCAGTAATGGGCTATCTCTCCCAGGACAGGCTGGCCGAGAGGAAAGCTCTGCTGTTGCAGACCGTGCAGAGGTGAGTGATGGAGAAGTCCTTGTCCCCCTGCCCTTAACCTCCAGGTACCCAGCTCTGAGCCTGAGCCTGGTTGCCTTATGTGGTGGACAGGACACACAGGTGATTGCCATCAAAAGTGGGCAGGGTGTTCACAGAGAAGGAACTACAGAACTAGTGGAGAAGCAGCCGTGGTGTGTGCCTGTAAGGGTAGCTCTTGGAAGGTAGTGATGAGAGGGTCAGGAGTTCAAGGCTAGCCTGGGCTACTGGAGACTCTGCTTTAACAATCAAAACAAAACAGAAACAGAGCTGAGGAGATGGCTGTCAGTAAAGGCCCTGTCGCAGAAACACGAGGACCCAGAGCACATCCCCAGCACACACTTTAAACATGCAGTGGGCATGCCTATAATCTCAGCCCTAGGGAGGCAGAGACACAGGATCCCTGGGGCTCACTGGTCACAGCCTACCCAACTGGTGACCTCCAAGTTCAGTAAGAGACTGTCTTAAAAAATAAGGTGGTGGGTTATTGAGGAAGACGCCTGATGTAGGACTCTGGCCTCCATACGTACATGCTTGCATACATGTGTGCATATGCAACCTGACACACGGAACAGGCACGCATGTGAATACAGAAACACCACACACACACACACACACACACACACACACACACACACACAGGCACTAGCAAAAAGCCAGGGCTGCAGAGTTGAAGATCCTGCAGGTGGGGCAGGCATCTGTTCCCCTGAGATCAAACAGCCTCGCCTGACCTTCTCCCAGCCAATATGAAGAGAAGGACAAAGCCTTCAAGGAACAGCTTGCCCACCTGGCCTCCTTGCTACCCACCCTACAGGTAAGGGTTGAGGGTGTGTAGGGCTGGACACCCCAGCCCACAGTCCAAGCCCTGAGCATGGCACCCTCCTTCAGGTTCACCTGGTCATCTGTTCATCCTTCCTCAGCTTGGCCAGCAAGGCTGAGTTTCTGGACCTGGGTTATGTGAGTGTCTCCAGCTCTTTCAGGACCCTCTCTTCCCACCTAGAGTCCGTCCTGCATAGAGGGTCCCTGTCTCACATCACTGCAGGCATGACGGGGGGGGGGTCCTCTGGACGTCTCTTCCCCTCCATTACAAGTTACACTTTGGGGCTCAAGTGAATGAATACCTTTTAAAAGGGCAACGCACACAAGCCTCCATCCCACCAAACTGCAGTGTCTGTCTGCGGGAGCCCCACCTCCCTTCTTAAGGATGTGGGCGGTGCCTGTGTATGGACCAGTCCTAGAGGAGGGTTGAAGCACCAAAAGAGAGACAAATGAAATGACAGCCTAGCCCCTGAGCCTTGAAATTCTCCATTTCTCTCTCCCGCCCTGGCTATCACCTCCTGTAACACCCCCACCCCACCCCACCCTTGTCCTGAGCTCTTCCCCCATGACAGGAGCTGATGGAGAGGCTGCAAGGCATCGTCACGCGCCCGCATCGCCTAAGACCGGCTCAGAGCAGCAAGGTGCGCAGGCCTGGGGTCTGGGGTCTGGGGTCGGGGGTCTGGACCCGGAGACACCGAGGCAGGGGAGAGCTGCTCATGACCCAATCTCCGGTCCAGATCGCCAGCGATCACCGCGCAGAATTTGCGCGCTGTCTGGAGCCGCTGCTGCTTCTGGGGCCCCGCAGAGCCGTGTCCACCGTGGGCGTCGCCAACACGTGAGCCCTAACCAGGAGGCCGGGTGGCCGGGAGGGATCACCAAAAAGGCTCCCGCACCACCCTTCCCTGCTAAGTCCGACGACAGTCTGAGAGGGAGGGAGAAACAAGAAAGCCCTTGAGGACGCTGGGGCAGGAAGCCCCAGACAACTGAGAGGAGACACTGGGCGTTCTTCAGCTCCACAGTCTCCTCCAGCAGGCTGGGCAGGACGCTCTCTGGGTGCGGAGTCACTGTGAATCAGACTTCCCCACTCGGTTGAAAGCCAGCGTCTCCTTGGAGGGGTTAGAAGTAGTGAAATCGGCATGTGAGTCCAAGAGAGACCACTTCTTAGTTCAGATCTGAGACATGGGAGTGAGCCATGCCCAGATCCAACCTGGAGGGGAATCCTTTCAGAAATCACTTCATTAAGTGGGTGCTCTTACCTTGTCCTTGCCTGGGGTCCTTGAGAGCTTCCAGGAGTTTACCCTGTAGTTGGGTTGAGAGAACAGTGGCTCCCTGAGCAGCCAAGGGGGTTAGGGGAAAGGAAGACCGGTCTGCTACCCTATGCAGACTGGCTCTCTCCGCAGGTTGGCGGGGAGCTCAAGCCCCAAGGTGCTGAAGACACCCAGCTGTCTCTCCCCGGTGGGAAAGATGCCAGGGTCACCTGTCCAGAAACCCTCACCCCACCGTTCCATCAGCACGAAGGTGCTCTTGGCTGAGGGCGAGGACACACCCTTCACAGAGCACTGCCGACATTATGAGGATTCCTATCGGGTGAGGGGGCTGGGCATCAGCAGGGTTGTGAGGTCCCACCCCTTCCTCACTAAGATCCAGTTGTGGGGGGGGGGCGGAGGAGAGGACTTGAAAGACACTGCTCCACTGGCGGGTTCCATGCCCCACTTCTGCAACAGGGTCTGCAGGTTGAGGTGCAGAACCTGAAGGACCAGGTTCAGGAATTACACCGAGACCTCACCAAGCACCACTCGCTCATCAAGGCGGAGATCATGGGGGACATCCTACACAGGTCCCTGCTGCTGGACACACAGATTGCTTCTGAGTATGCCTCCATGGAAGGCATGAGAGCCATCTTCCAGGAGGTAACCTCCCCCAGAGTTCTACCTAGCTTCCTGCAAAGGCACGTGGCCACTCCAAGGCAGGAAGGGGACAGCACAGTGCCTGGCATGGTGCTCTGCCAGACCCTCATGCTGTGGGTTCTGTGCCTGGAGAAATGTGAACCAGAGTGATGTGTGTGGCTGTACGGCTCCCGGAGCGGAAACACCCTCAGTGAAATTCCTCCTCCCCACCTCAACCAGCATTGCCACTCTTCTTTCAGATTTGGGAGGACTCCTACCAACGAGTAGCTACCCAGCAGGAGATTTATGAAGGTCCCCGGCAGTGGCTTCTCAACGTTAATCCACATTCGAGAGGGGAGGGAGCCGGTCAGCCACTAACCGCGCATGCGTATCCCCTGCTCTCTTTCCCCTAGCGTTTGGCTTGGCTCTGACACCTGCTTTGGAGGGTAGCAGCCAGTGAGTGGGGTCTCCACACCACAAGCTGCTCCTTTTGATCACAGAGGTCATTGGCAGTTGGGATCTCTAGATGGTACCAGACTTAGGCGCGGGGGGGGGGGGGACTAACACCAACAACCAACACTTTGACATTGGCTTCACAGCCCAGCTCCATGACCTTCTCCAGCTGAAGCAGGAGAATGCCTACTTGACCACCATCACTAAGCAGATCACACCCTACATCCGCTCCATTGCCAGAGTGAAGGAGCGGCTGGAGCCCAGGTGAGAATGTGTGTAATGTGGGGGGGGGGGGCAGCATAAGCTGGCAGGTTCTTGCAGACCAGGTACTAGAATCTGCGAGTCTGCCAAGGAAGTGGCGGTGCACTCTAGAGGCTGGGGCAGGAGGATGATCACCGTGAGCCTGGAGTTAGACTTCAACTTAGCCAGACTTCATCTCAAACAAAATAAAGACTCCCCCAAAAAATGGTAACTGAGCAGACTGAGACCCTTCTAGATACAAGCTAGCCCTTCAACCCTCAGGACATCAGATCAGGAGAAACTCGAACTGTCATGTGAGTCTTCTGTAATCCCAGCAACCTCATCAGCTAAGGCTGACCAGCCGGGTGTGGACCAGATCCTCTCAGGCACAAGAGTGTTATGAGCAATCCAGACTGGGTGGTGCAGACCTGTCATCTCGGCTAGTTATGCCTCGCATGAGTGAGACCCTGGGTTCAGCAGAGTGAAGTGTTGACTACAGATGTGTGGAATCCAGGGGCCCTGCCTGTCTCCTGGGCCCTCCCACTTCCTGTTTGGTAGAGCCCATATTCTGGCTAGAGTGTGAATTACTTCTGGAGTGAGATCTGTGTCCAGACAGCATGGATCAGAAAATTCTTTCTATTCTCCCTCACACTTGACCGATAGTTCAAGTTTTAAATTCTGGATTTGAGATTCTAGACTGGAAAGAATTGTGCTTTGGAGGTGGAGGGAGGCTTTATTCCTTCCAGTTGCTGGGGATGTCCCCAAACCAGCTGAGTTCTTCTGATCCCTAGCCCTTACTGTGACCTACTACGCTTCTCGGAAGCTTGCAGACTTCTGTCTTGCCCATGTCTTGAATTTCACACAATGAGGTGTATCTAGCCATGGGATGGGTGACAATGGTTTCTCTCCATCTGGGAATTCCTATCTTTTGGTTTGGGATTTGGAATACTCTTTAAAATCAATTACTGGCTTGACTGAGTCTTTATTTAGTGTCCCTATGATGGGACACTGGCCCCCCACTGTACCATCTCTCTTTGCTGTGTTTCTGGACATTTCCTTCCTTCCTTCCTTCCTTCCTTCCTTCCTTCCTTCCTTCTTACTTTTTTTGATTTTTTAAAAATATTTATTATGTATACAATATTCTGTCTTTGTCTATGCCTGCAGGCCAGAAGAGGGCACCAGACCCCATTACAGATGGTTGTGAGCCACCATGTGGTTGCTGGGAATTGAACTCAGGACCTTTGGTAGAGCAGGCATTGCTCTTAACCTCTGAGCCATCTCTCCAACCCCCCTTTTTGATTTTTTATTGAGCTCTACATTTTTCTCTGCTCCTCTCCCGGCCTCTCCCCTCCCTTTTAACCCTCCCCCAAGGTCCCCATTTTACTCCCAATTTACTTGGGAGATCTTGTCTTTTTCTACTTTCTACTTGCCATGTAGATTAGATCCATGTATGCCTCTCTTAGGGTCCTCATTGTTGTCTAGGTTCTTTGGGACTGTGATTTGTGGGCTGGTTTTCTTTGCTTTGTTTAAAAACTACTTATGAGCGAGTATATGTGGTAATTGTCTTTCTGGGTCTGGGTAACTCACTCAAAATAATATTTTCTAGCTCCATCCATTTTCCTGCAAAATTCAAGATGTTATTTTTTTCTGCTGTGTAGTATTCCATTGTGTGAATGTACCACATTTTCCTTATCCATTCTTTGGTCAAGGGGCACTTAGGTTGTTTCCAGGTTCTGGCTATGACAAACAATACTGCTATGAACATAGTTGAGCACATGTCCTTGTGGCATGATTGAGCATCCTTTGGATATATACCCAAAAGTAGTACTACTGGGTCTTGAGGAAAGGTGTTTCCTAATTTTCTGAGAAATTGCCACACTGCCATCCAAAGGGGCTGTACCAATTTGCACTCCCACCAGCAATACAAGTGTTCCCTTTTCCCCACAACCTCTCCAGCATAAGTTGTCATCAGTGGTTTTGATCTTGGCCATTCTTACAGGTGTAAGATGGAATCTTAGAGTTGATTTGCATTTCTCTGATGACTAAGGATGTTGAGCATTTCCTTAAGTGTCTTTCAGCCATTTTAGATTCCTCTGTTGAGAGTTCTCTTTAGGTCTTTACTCCATTTTTTTTTATTGGGTTATTTGTTCTTTTGATGACCAATTTCTTGAGTTCTTTGTATATTTTGGAAATCAGATCTCTGTCTGATGTGGGGTTGGTGAAGATCTTTTCCCATTCTGTAGGTTGTCGCTTTGTCTTGTTGACCATGTCCTTTGCTTTACAGAAGCTTTTCAGTTTCAGGAGGTCCCATCTATTAATTGTTTCTCGCAGTGTCTGTCCTACTGGGGTTATATTTAGGAAGTGGTTCCCTGTGCCAATGTGTTAAGTGTACTTCCCACTTTCTCTTCTATGAGGTTCAGTGTAGCTGGGTTTATGTTGAGGTCTTTGATCCATTTGGACTTGAGTTTTGTGCATGGTGATAGATATGGATCTACTTTCATTCTTCTACATGTTGATATCCAGTTATGCCAGCACCATTTGTTAAATATGCTTTCTTTTTTTTTATTTTATTTTTTTGGTTTTTCGAGACAGGGTTTCTCTGTGGCTTTGGAGCCTGTCCTGGAACTCCCTCTGCAAATATGCTTTCTTTTTCTGGACATTTTCTTACATCTCTTCCAGTCTTCCTGTTGATCTTGGTGTTTTTTCTTTCCCTTTTTGGCTGGATATGGTGTTTGCACACTTGTAATGCCAGCACTCAGGAAGCAGAGGCAGGCAGATCTCTGTGAGTTTGAGGTCAGCCTAGTCTACCTGGCAAACTCCAGGCCAGTCAGGATTACACCATGAGACTTAATCTCCAAAAAAATGTTTACTATTTTGTGTCTGTGTGCATGTATGTGTAAGCACGTGTGTGCCACGCGGAGCACGTGTATGTGTAAGCACGTGTGGAGCACATATGGAGGAAAGAGGACAGTTTGCAGGAGTCGTTATTTTTGTTGTTTTCAAGACAAGGTTTCCTGGAGCTTTGCAGCCTGTCCTGGAACTCACTCTGTAGACCAGGCTGGCCGTGCCTGCCCCTGCCTCCCAGGTGCTAGGATTAAAGGCGTGTACCACCAGCACCTGGTCCCTTGTTCCCATTCTTAACCCATCCCAAGACCCCAGACCGAACTTCTCCATTGCAGCCTGCTTACTCTGTGCCCCACGTCAACCCGCTGTGCCCTTCAACATACCCCACAGCGTTTTTAAGTGGTCTGCAACTCCCATAACAGGGCGTGGCAGCACTCCACGGCCCGTCCCTGCCCACCTCTGTCAGACCCTGCAACACGCTGGCCACAGTGGCCTTCCGGTCCCGTGGGGCATTTGCACCAGCTCCTGCTTCTGGGCGAGCCTCGGTCTGCAAGCTTTGTGCTCCGCGTTGTCTCATGGGGCCTCATCACTAAGGTCAGCAGAAAGGCTTCCCCACACTGCCAACTAAAATAAACCCAGTGGGCTGTCACTCCAGGCCACCTGGCCCCATTGTTTGTTCCCTGAGGTGTCTCCTTTGGCCAGCAGATAGCTTGTAAAAGCCAGGCCTAACCAGGGCCTGCATGCTACTGTGGCCAGTGGCTCTGACAAACCATACGAGGCCTGGCAACTTGTCCTAGAGCAAGGAAAAAGTGTTGGGTGTGCCCTGGAAGTTCTGCTACCTTGCGGTTTTGGTACAGTGTGAGTTTAAGGCCATCAGCAGGGACTTTGCTGCCTTCAAGCTGTCTATACTGGTTCCTCTCACCCAGATTCCAGGTACCTGTGGAAGAGCACACGGAGCAGAATGTGTACGATGATGCCACGGACAATGAGACCTCAGCCAGGTAAAACAGCTTCTTTCCAACAGGAGCCAGGTGACAAGGACAGACTTGGGAACAAACAAAAGTGTGGGCAGAGGATGAGCTATAAAGTGAGATCCTGTCTTAAAAGAAGCAACTAAACCCACACACACACAAACAAAAACAAACATACCTTCCAGTAATTCACCGAAATGACGAACGTGAAGGACAGAGAGGCCCTGATCTGTTTCACAGGCCTTTGGGGAACGTGAAGCTGTTCCTTTGGCCACATAGAACCAATTTACAAGGGTGACGTAGTCAGCAATGAGATGGGCACTGTTCAAAAAGGAAGACCTTGTAATCAAGCAAGTTAAGGGCAAGGTTCTTATAGAGATTACCACATCAGGAAGAAAGGAAGCCAAAGGAGCCTGAGCTCACCTGCAGCACCGGCCGGCTGCTCCCACAGCACTCTGTAAGAACTTGGAGGGAGCCTGGGCAGCTAGAGCCCGCTCCCTGTGACGACTTCGTGTACAAAGAAAAATAAAAGACCTAGGCCATAAAAGAGAAACGGGCTGGGGAGATGGCTCAGGTATAAAATGCTGTCGTTTACTGGAGAGGTAGAGACAGGAGGACCCCTGGGGCTGGCAGGGCACCATCAAAGCCTAGCGAGACAGAGGTAGGGCTGCTGGGAACCAGAGTGGGTTGTACAGTGACTTTAAGGCCAGTTCGGGCCACACTGCAACCTAGAAACACCAAAACAAAACAAAACAACCATTGGAAGAGGCCTTGTATTCAGAGTTGGGAGATGGAGAGCGGTAGGTCTCACCCTTCCACACAAAGATACGCTTAGGACAGCCCCAGCTCACAGGCCACCAGTCTGAGCTGTTAAAAGACTTAACCACTAACAGCCACAGCCATCACCTGGGGTGAGACTCTCACTAGAGGCGGCAGAGCTCTCTCCAGGGGCACACTTCTGTGGAAAGGTCTTCCAATATGAAAGCTACCAGAATGGATATAGTGGGGATTGGAGGGGGGGGGGGGGGGGGGGGGGGGGGGGAGTGAAGCCATCTGGCTCACGTCAAACTGTTCCTTAGGATCGACCCAGGGAGCATCACTGAGAAGAGAGAGAGGGCATCTGAGCCCCATGGAAGCAGCTGGGCCCTGAGCATCCTCCCAGAAGGGCCCCCATTAAAGAACCAAGACCACCCCAGACCCAAGTAGGAAACCAGAGATGAGGGACGGCAAGGTGGCTCAGGACCCAAAGCGGCTTGCTACCAAGCCTGACGACCTGGACCGCCATGGTGCAAGGAAAGAGCTAATTTCCACACAGGTTCACAATCAAGAAGCAACAGGAAAGCTCTCAATGAGGACGGCATCACCACACGAGGCAGCAGCTTAGTAACTGGGTCCTAGTGAGCTGCGCCCAGGTGTTGGCTTTCTCAGGACTGGCACGCAGGCTCCAGACATGGCTGCTCTTTCAGAGGACCCGGGTTGGATCCTATCACCCGCATGGTGCTCACTATCACCTGTAACTCCAGTTCAGGTGAACTGATGCCCTCTTCTGGCCTCTGTGGGTACCACATGCATGTACTGCAGACATCACATGCATGTACTGCAGACATGTGTGCAGGTAAAATACATAAAATAGTAAAATACACATAAAATATATCTTAAATTTAAGCTGGGGCAAAGAACAGCATGTACCACCGTCACCTGATTTATTTGTTATGCCTTTCATCCCAGCACTCGGGAGGCAGAGGCAGACAGGTGTTTGTGAGTTCCAGGACAGCCAGGGCTACACAGAAACCCTGTCCAGGGCGGGGGGGGGGGGGGGGGGGGGGGGGGATTTAAGCTGCATGACCCAAAATTGAAGTTTTGGAGACTAAATGATGCCATTATAGTCACGTTTTTAACAGCAAATGTTGCTTTTATGTGCCAGAGAGACGGGACCCTCACACAGACACAATTACATGGATACCGTGCGCTGCTGTCTCAGGGACCAGGTCGCTAGAGTGGTGGCTCTCAACATGTGGGTGGGGACCCCTTTGGGGCTGTGTATCAGATATCCTGCTACCAGATATTTACATTATAACTCCTAACAGTAGGAAATTAGTTATGAAGCAGCAATGAAATAATTTTATGGCTGGGGGTCACAACATGAGGAACTGTATTATAAAGGGCCGCAGCATTAGGAAGGTTGAGGACCATGGTGCTAGGGGCAGGAATTCAAGAGAGCCAAGGAGTCAAAACACACGTCATTTGATGCTGGTGGTGCTGAGCTGTCCTCCAGACACGGTTATCACGTGTGGCTTCTGCACCCTACACAGTGACGCTTGTCTGGAGTGAAATCAAGTTCTGTTTTATTTAAGAACTAGAAAGAATAATCAGTATCTGTGAAAGAAAATCCCATTTAATATATTTAAATAAACATTTGTGTGTAAAAAGACGAGTACAGTAATTACTCCATAATCCCCGCCTTGCCATGGGTCAGACAAGCTGCCTCCACTCACTCGGGATGAGCAGGGGCAACCTTCCCAGAGCTATGCAGCTGCCCACCCACTGGGAAGGCCGAGGGCTCTAACCTTGCTGCCACCAGGAGAGTGGAGCTACCTAAGGCAGGGAGATGTGGGAAGAGGAAGACTCACTGGCTGTTTTGAGGAGGCAACCTAGGAGTTTGGGCTGAGCCCTCAGGGACCGGACGCCAAATATGGCCTCCCTGATACACCAGCCCCTAAGTTAGCAGCTACGAGGAGAGAAGGAATAAAAGGTATCTCCAAGGCGCACGCAGCAGCTCCCACTGAGGCCACCACTGTTTGTTTTCTGCCCTGTTCGCAGGCTCACTCATCTGCAATCCGCCACCCCTGCTTGTAACGGCTACGGGGCCTCCTGAGTGCTTCCATGATTGCCAAAAAAGTAGCCTTTTCTCTCTGTGGTACCCACTCTCCACCCAAGAACTTCTGCAACTAGACAAGTCAACCTCCTGACAGTTCCCTAGTCTGTGGAAGCCCTAGGACACGGGGGCCTGTCTAATCCCTGAAAAGCCTCATTAGCCTGATTCTCTGCCACCACCTGTCGCTGCTGCATCTATAAAGTTAAGGATAATCTGCAGACCAGCAGCAGGGAAAGCGATCACCTGCCAAACCTACCATGTAGGGGCTCATAGTTGGTTGCGCATCGCTGACTTCTACCCTAGGAGTGCCGAGAGGGTGGGCCTGCTCTTCCTGCATTCACACCCTTGGAATCACCCCTTAAAAACACAACCCCAAGTCTCCTAGGGTGTGGTGATCCCACGTCATGGGCTCCCTCTCTCCTGGACTGCTCTCAAGTTGAGCTTTCCAGCCTCTGGCAGGTGGAGGGTGACGTCAAATGCCAACATTCAGCCTTTCTACCCACAATGCCAAGGGCTGTCATTAGCTGCTCTCCATCCATCAAAAAGACAACTTCATGGCCCTCAAGGGGAATGGAGGTTGGAGCCAGCCCAGCCTAGATGCATGGAGAGAGAGCTGGGTCTGACCGCCAAACATCCATCCTCTCCCATTTGCAGCCTGGTTGAGCGGGGTGGGATTCAGGAGGTGTGGTCCGGCTCCACTCATATTTCAAAAGTGAGTATTGCTGTCCTGCCATGGTTATTCCTGGGCAGCTTGGTGTGGATAATAGCTATGGCTGCCATAGAAGCTCTTCAGGCCTCAGGAGGTCCTGGTCTCATGCTAGTAACTGGCAAACCTCTAAGCCTCTTTGGTATATAGAACAAAAAAAAAAAATGAAAATTAAGCCACGTAATCTAAAAATAAATTACTTCTGGGCTGACTAAATGTCTTTTGAGTATACATCAGCTATCTTCAGTTAACACAGAGAAACCACGTTCTCATACTGCGAGATTTCATTATGCTGTTTGGCTCACCTAAGCATTGAAACATCTGACACTGGGGGGCAACCAGGAGGTGAGCAGAATTGGGGAACATGATGTGAAACTCCCATGAGTCAATAAAGAAGTTAAAGAAAAAAGAGAAAAGAAAAGGAAAATCAAAATGTTTTAAGGAAGAACAGAGGCTTTGGGAAAAGGCAGGGATGTGGGAGGAAGTTGAGGGTTGGGGTTAAATATGATAAATATACAATAGACAACGAAACTGCGAAAGAATTCATGAAACCTCTCTCACCTTAAAATAAAATCAACCGGACACTGTTGGAAGTCCTCACACACCCCTGAGGTAGGCGATACTGGCCCCATCCCACTGATGGGGAGGCCTAAGCAGGGAAGGGCGTGGTGGTGACGGAGCAGCACTCTGGCCACAGACCCACCGCCTCCACCATCACTTGGTCAGGGCCACTGCAGGCTCTGGAAGTGGTCTTGGGGCTCTGGCCTCTTAGGAAGTCAGTCTTCCTGGCGGTTCACACAGGCCCAAGCAGAGCAGCGAATGAGGCCTGCAGGCTGGCCCCAAGAGCACTTCCAGCTGGCTGAATTCCCCTCTCTGCTTGTTTCCCGGGCTTCCTAAGGTGACTGACCAGGGCACAAGTTTTTGAGGTTTCTGGATTCTCAGTTTTGGTGGAGGAGCAGGTTTGGGGGGGTCACCTCCCTATTGATGGAACGCCTATTTATTATGGCAAGAATAGGCTGGAATTCCCCAATTTACACAGCCCCCCAAGGTTTTGCAGCTCTGGCTGAATGCTACATGATACTAACTCCCACTGGACTATTCCTCCTTGTCTGACAAGGTCCTAGGATATATCTCAATACTGAGCACCCCATCCATATTAACCCTAACGACCCTCTTGGCCAGAGCACCCACCATGGCCAGCTGCTGAGTCTCTATGCCACATCTGCAGGCCCACCAGCACCTATTCCTGCATTTACTTCTCGCCAGCCACACAAGCCCATTATCTCTGCTGAGGCAGAGAACACCAATCCTGCCTTGGCCTGGCCAACAAGGGAAACGTGGGTCACCAAGGTCAACAAACATTTCCCTGCTGGCTGTACTGCTGTGATGTGGTTCCCAAAGACATGCCACCACTGCCAACAGCAAGTCCCAGCGCAACACCCACTTTGTAGGTCCCACTGGCTTCAAGGTTGGCATCAGTTACCAACCCCACACCGGGGTACCTGGTGGAGACCCAGCCTAGGTACAGCAAGCTGCCAGCGTGCTTCACACCACGGCCACTGCAGCCTGGACTTGCCTGACCTAGTGTTTGCCAAGGGTGCATCTGTGCACTGGTGTGCTTGAGGCCTGGGAGGACAGAGCTGTACTAGGGGACTCCCAGAAGGCTAGACTGAATGCCAGGAATACTAAGTATCCACCTTGGCAACCCTGCGATGTGTCAGTTAAGAATGTCTCCACTGAGAGGAACATGGGGGAAGGAACGAGGACGGTTGTAAAGTATGAGAACCTGGCTGAGCACAGCACTGAGCAGGCCCATCTGGATCCTGGTGGACGGCAGGGAAGTGAGGTACACCGGCAGTGTGTCTACTATCAGAACCAAGCATTAGCTGACACACGGAAATGCCCAGTTTGTCTCCTGTTTGTCTGTTGGATACATAAGACTCTTTACATCTGAGTGGAAGCTTGGAGGAAACATATAAAACCCCAGTCTGGAAGGACCTCACATCCAGGCCAGGTCTGATTAATCGAGGGCTGCACTGTTGTCGGGACTTCTGTCCTGCCTGGTTTCCAGTTGCTAAGTCACAAAGAAATCACACAGAGGTCTACATTAGTTATAAACTAACTGGCCTAGTATCTCAGGCTTCTTATTAACTCTTCTAACTTATATTAGCCCATTATTCTTATCTATGTTAGCCACATGGCTCAGTACCTTTTTCAGCTAGGCAGTCACATCTTGCTTCTTCTGTGGTGGGCTCACAACTACCAACCAGGAGTTCCTTCTTCCCAGAATTCTCCTGTTCTCATTGACCTGCCTCTACTTCCTGACTGGTTTTCCCACCTATACTTCCTGCCTGGCTACTGGCCAATCAGCGTTTATTTAAAATATAATTGACAGAATATAAACCATTGTCCCACACCACTTCCCCCTTTAAAAAAACAAAACAAAAACAACAACAACAAAAAAAAACAAAAACCCTCTGACTCCAATATCCTTTGTTTAGTGTCTCCTGACCATTAGCCATAACAACTTGTAACCAACATTCTAAACAAAGGAAAATATCCATAGTCCATTTTTTTGGGAATGTGGGCGTAGTTTTCCAGGCTACTTCCTGCTGGTTGGGGGCGCTGATAATCTTTTGGGGACCTAAAGAAAATTTAGAATTATGATCAAGTCCTGACTGGAGTATCCTGTGAGGCTTGATCATCTTAGGCAGCATCTTGAATTCTGGAAGTTGAACTCAGACATCTGGGCCATTTGTTCCCACCAGAGATTTCTCAGGTGGCATTCCTTGACCAACCTGATTTTTCTTAACTCAGAATGAATCCACAGTCTCTCCTTTCCTGTGGAAACAAAAGCAAAACCTCTTCTCCAAAGAAACATACCTTTTGACTTCAATTTTGAAATCAGGGTATTTTCAAAGGACCTATCTTGGATTAATTCAGCAGCATTTATAAACAAATATCCTTTAGCAGCTGTTGCTCCTTCCTCAGCATTCAGACAATTCAAAGAGAACATAACACAGTACCCAGACTTTGTGTATTGTTCATCTTTACATGGCTTTATTTTATTTTTACTTTTAGGCTTTTTTAGGTTTCTGTGTACTTTTGTCCTGGAACTCACTCTATAGACCAGGCTGTCCTTGAACTCACAGAGATCTGCCTGTCTCTGCCTCCCAAGGGCTGGGATTAAAGGTGTGTGCTACCATACCTTGAACTCACAGAGGTCTGTCTGCCTCTGTCTCCCAAGTGTTGGGATTAAAGGCATGTGCCACCAAACCCAACTACTCTTTTTTATTTTAAGGACTTTAACCTCTTTCTTTACTCTCCCAAACTTGCATATATTTTTAACACACTGTAAACAACTTAGAGGTTTTCTTCATCTTTGAATCTCTCTTTACTGTATCTCTCTCTCTTTTTCTGACCACGAGTCTTTAATTTGTTAAGCAATATGGGTAGGATTAAAGCCATGGCTTTGACAGCTGGATCCAACCCATTCCTTAGCTTTCTGAGATTCCAGCCTCATTGCAGTCAATGCTGAGTCAGGAAGCCTCTCTTAAATGAGAGCACTTGCCTCTAGCAAGCAGAGCCCACCTGGGAAAATGCTGCTATCGATAAGCCATGCTTATCTCTATTCTTTTCTGTCTAGAATTACTTCCCAAGCTCTGTCAGGCTTTATGTGGATGCAGTTGTCCATGTGGGTGCCATTTGTTGACTGAGTTTTCTGTTCTGCCCGGTTTCCACAGTCGTTAAGTCACAAAGAAATCACACAGAGGTCTACATTAGTTATAAACTAACTGGCCTAGTATCTCAGGCTTCTTATTAACTCTTCTAACTTATATTAGCCCATTATTCTTATCTATGTTAGCCACATGGCTCAGTACCTTTTTCAGCTAGGCAGTCACATCTTGCTTCTTCTGTGGTGGGCTCACAACTACCAACCAGGAGTTCCTTCTTCCCAGAATTCTCCTGTTCTCATTGACCTGCCTCTACTTCCTGACTGGTTTTCCCACCTATACTTCCTGCCTGGCTACTGGCCAATCAGCGTTTATTTAAAATATAATTGACAGAATATAAACCATTGTCCCACACCACCACACCTCTTGAAGCTTTATGTGGAACATAGAAAAAGCTAAATGTTCTCCCCAGACCTGCAGAACGAAGATGCCAGTGGACCTGGATTGAGCCACTCAACTGAAGGCTCTTTAGGAGTCAGCTGCCTGGGCCGACACATAAAATATGCTGGGCCCACAGATGCATGAGCTATGCTGGGCCCTCTGGAACATCTGAAGCAGTAGTAGGGGTGACTTACTTTGAAAGAACACAGAAAACAAATATAATAGACTAACACTGCAACACAAAAAATACAAAACACAAGTTATGATAAAATGAAAAAAAATCCCAAACACACAGAGGGCAGTACTTCTCAACATTAGTGCAGGCACCTGAAAAATACTTTCTGGAAACACAATCTCTGAGGCCAGGGCTGCAGGAGACCCCGGGGCCCGCATCCTCAGGCCCAGTGCAATGGTTGCTCAAAGCCCCGGAGCACTCTGAGGAGTCTGTGTTGCCCATTGGCTTTGAAACACAGAGACGGGGAGCACTGGTGTCCCTCTGAATCTACACTGCTATATTTAGGAAACTGGCGTGGAAGAATGATTAAATGTATAATGAGCCAAGGTGTCAAAGCCTTTGAAGTTTAACACAGATGCTCATGCACTTAGGGCAGACAAGGTTAAAGCTATGTTGTGTTTTCGGTTAAATTAAAGGGTTTTGATGTAATTTGAATGCTATTATGAGGCAGCTCTGACTACACATTCTGGCGTGAGTGCTGCAGAGGGCAGTGTCCTCTCCCGATGTCCTGGTCACAGTGCCAATACACTCTAGCCTGAGGGGGCGTGAGACTGCGGCTTGGGTCCTCACCCCGCCACTGTAGAAAGGACACTGATGGGACAGTTGTGACACGCTCCTTGTTCACTGTTTATCCGTGTTCTACCTTCATTCCGCACAAGAGAATGCTGCAGTGGGCCCTGTGGTCCTAAGGCCTTCTGACCGTTAGGTCTTGGGTGACATTCTGAGGAGTAATTAGTGACATATAAAATGGTTAAGAAACTCATTCTGCAGAGGCCAACTGGAAGCAGTTCTGTCCTAGGCTGCGCAGGGCCAGAGATTCCCTGGCCCTGCAGGCCTCTGCCCATCATAGCTCCACCTTGACTCCCTTTATGAAAGGCAGACCCGTGGGCACCCGCTTCTTATACTCCAAGTATTCCTCCCCAAAGAAGTGAATCAGTGAGATCTCCTCCTCTTCCGTGCGGTCACGAAAGAAGCGCCACACCGTCAGGGCGTAGACAACACCGCAGATGGGGTTACACAGCATCACCTGGCAGAAGAAGCACAGAATGCCTGAGGTCAGGGTGCCCCGATACCCGAGCACCTTCTCCCCACAGGATTCTTGCCGGGCCCCAGAAGACTCTCACAATACTGTAAGAGCCATTAACACTCCTTGGAGGCACCCTCACCACTGTATTTGCCTGTGATTCTCTTGAGTAAGCAAGACCTCAGTTATAGGGAAAGACAAGACTCTCGGGTTTCAGCCATAGGTGACAGACGTACCCACCTGGACTCAAATGTGAATTCCCTGATGCGGGAACTCATGCTCACCTGGATATGCCTACTTGTCTTGGACCCTTGCTTCCTACCCTCAAGGCCACATGAGCCAATTGCTACCATCTGAGCTTCCAAAAACATTTCTTTTCAGAGACCACTCTGCTCAGAAAGTGGCAGTGCCCACAGGCCAGAAAACCTGTGCCTGGCCACCTTTTTTATAACCCCTGCCCCTTTTCTAACCTAGTCCTCCAGCCAAAAGCCTGTCAAAACTAAAAGTATCCCTGGTTCCTAGAAGTTTCCTTTGCTACCACGGAAACCATTAACCCACCCATACTCACCACAGGCATCAAACCCATCTGGCGATACTCCCGCCCAGTGAACCAGGCGCGCCCCAGCTTCTCCCCAGCTTCTCCCCAGCCCCCTGCACTGGCCACTCTGGCGATACTCCCGCCCAGTGAACCAGGCGCGCCCCAGCTTCTCCCCAGCTTCTCCCCAGCTTCTCCCCAGCCCCTGCACTGGCCAGACTACTCGCTGTGCTCATAACACCATGCTAAGCCACTCAACCTTCGAGCAGTCTTTGTCCCCACTCTGAAGACTGTCCTGGCTTTTAGGGTAGACCAGGCTGGCCCATCTGGCAGTAGCCACAGTCTGCACATTCACACCCGGCAGACGTGTGCAGCTTTCTGGGCAGCCTCGATGATGGCAGGATTCTTTTTTTTTTTTTTTTTTTGGTTTTTTTTTTTTGGTTTTTTGAGACAGGGTTTCTCTGTGGCTTTGGTTCCTGTCCTGGAACTAGCTCTTGTAGACCAGGCTGGCCTCGAACTCACAGAGATCCGCCTGCCTCTGCCTGATGGCAGGATTCTTAATCATAATTGGTAACCTTCCCCTGAGCTGGGAAAACCAATTTTCAGTGCGTCATCAGCACCGTTCCAAAGAGTCAGGACAAGAAACAGTGTTCTGTGTAAGATAAGGACTGCTGCAAGACAGACTCATCCCCACAGGCATGCACGCACGAGGGACACTGCAGAAAACACCTATGATCTAAAATGTACAACAACCTCTCAGTTCTAAGGCCCTTAGGTCGCATAAGTGCTTAGACAAATTACATTCGTCAGCTCCCGTCAGTGCGGTCCCGGGCGGGGCTGTGGCAGCAAGGGCAGCAGTGCCGTGTCTCAGAAACACCAGAGCCACCTCCTATACCGTTATGGGGTCACCAGCACCCCATGGCCCATGCACCACTGATATGAGGTCTAGGATCCCCAGATGATCTTTCCAAGCTCTATTTGCACTCTCTGGTCAAGCTGTTCTCGGACTAAGTATAGCATCCAGAGACAGCTGTCGAGAAACAAGGGTTTGTCTGCATCCCCAGACAGAACAAATCCCCACAGCTCTCATTAACCTGGCAGGACCTTGGCCTCATTTAGACCTATTTTCTTCTTTTTTTTGATGAAAACCCACTGAGCCACCACAGGGTGGCTGAGGACATTCCCTCCCCAAAGTCTACCTTCCCTCACCCGAGGTGTTCCAGATTCGAGTCAGAGTGGCAGAATGGGGCACAATACAGGGCAGCAGAGTACCAATGCCACCAGGGGTCACCCGCCACTCAGGAAGGCAGGATTGCCCCTTTCTTTTCTCTTCCCCACCCCCCTGCAGCTGGCTGACCTCTGTGCTCACCTCTATCCTCCTGGTAAGCGCCAGACTTACTACCTGCCTGCTCTGGGGGTTTCTTTTTAAAGAATAGTCTTCAAGTTTAAAATAAAGAAATTAATTAATTTAAAACAACGTCAAGATTTTACCTCCAAACACAGGTGGACTAGATTAGGTCTCCCAGTTTTGCACTTAGAAACAGTGGGGTTTATGGTGTGCCAATTATACAGCAAGTTAAATGTTAAGAGTTAAGTGGACTATACAGAAGGCTACAAGTTCGGGTCAGCTTGAACTACACAGCAAGACCTTTTGTACAGATACCCAAAAAAGAACTTAGGCAAGTAAATTCACAGGGAACCAGCGTCGACTTTGGTACCATACCTGGGTTCCGATACTCCAGTAAAACCACCCCACATAGGAGGGATGCCGGAACCAGGCGTACACCCCGCTCGTCACCAGAGTGTGGGTGTCTGACTTCTCACTCTGCACCACGTGGTTGAAATTGGAGCCAGCTGTAAACATGGCCGCTTTCCGCAGGCATTCTCCAAACACCACCATCAGCAGCCCAGTGGTGCTGAGCCAGGTGATCTGCTTCAGTTCTGCAGAAACAGACGCAGGGACGAGAGGGAATGGGGACACTGGGTGTGATCACCCCTTCACCTATTCCCTCAAGAGACAAGCATCAGAAAACACCCTGACGGTAATCAGCATCCGTCCTCACATCAAACTTGACCACCCCAATCCCAGCATCACCGCTTCCTCTTTCAGGTGCCAACAAGTCAACTGTGGGCAGCTCTCCCTGCCAGGCCTGGTGGGCTCCGCTCACATCCCTCTCCGGGGAGCACGTACTGCTGAAAGGGACATGCCCCTTTGAAGTCAGTCCGAGCCCCACATCTGGCTTTGGGAAAGCATGATTTAGGTGTGTTCCCTACAGACAGGTTTGGGATTTTTGTTTGTTTTAAACAATAAAACCTTGTGAAATTCTCATGTTACAGAAAAGTATTCAGGCCCAAACTTCATCTGTCCAAGGGCAAAATTAAGATTGCAACTAGCAAGGCAGAGCGCCGTCTTAGGCGGTGCCCCGCATTTGCAAGACATAGAGCAAAAGGTCAGCACGTCCTGGTCCAGAAGCAGAATTCTCCAGCGAGAGGAGTCTGTCCTTTATAAATAGCTTAAAGAGGAGAGAGCATGGGGGAGAATTGCTCAGGGGAGATTAGACCGGAGAGGTGAACCAATGTCACTCCTCAGCCCACGGGAAGGCACCCTTCTCTCCCAGAGAGGAAAGCAGGGCACACCCACCTGGCCAAAAGATGTTTTCAAGTGTGAACTCTATCCAGGAAGAAAGAGCAGCCACCGTGTACTCCAGACTGTGATTCAGGAGGAAGGAATCCAAGGAGAGACTTTTGGGGTTATTGACAGCTGTCACTAAGTACTCAGAATAGTGGAATAATGACAGCGAGCACACGTACCTATTTAAAAACAAAAACGAAGTGGGAGACTACACAAGAGAACCACGCTAGGCCAAAGCCCAGATCTGGGTCTGTTGACTGTCCCTAACCCTGTCATGCGCTGCCGCCGTCACCCACCTGCGTGACACCAGGCACACACACACACGCCATTCACTCCCTCCTGAGCTTGCAGAAAGAGGGGTTGGGTGGTGCTGTTATGTTTCCGGATGTCACAGACAAAATTAAAAAAATCTCCCTGGGTGAAGGAGGAATTATGGTCCCTTTGCTCCTCTGAAGATGAGAGTTTCACACTTTAACATGAAAGGGGGGGATATCAACAAGGTAGTGACGCATGTTGGAAACAAAATTCAACAAAACTAAAATAATTCCAGCAAAGAAGGATTAGATGGCTCAGCATACTGATAATAGGAGATAAAGCTTTTTACCTTGAAGCCACGATTCATATCCAAGTCAGAGGCTAGAAGGTTCAAGGGACTGAACTCATAGTGTAGGGGAAAGTCCTACACTGGCTGTGGGGGAAGCACTAGCCGGGACCTAATAGAAACCGGAGACGGAGAAGGCTTAGGAAAACAGCGGGAGGCTCGCCCCTTCCCATCACCGCGGACCTGCACCCATCACAGCAGCTTCAGATGGCAGGGACTTCTGGAGAGGGCACAGGGAGACCCGATTCCATCCACCACACAAGCCACTAACATGCACAACTGTGTCCACAGGCTTTGAAATGCGGGAATTCGGGGAAGGCAGGAGGCTGCTTCTTCAGAATCCTAATCAGCCTCCTGTTCTGTCAGAGCCCACACAGGGATGAGGAGAGGCCCCTACTCTGTCGACCCTCACACTTCAACACCATCATTCCCAAAGTCTTCTTACCAGCCAAAGTGATTCCAAGAAGACTGGCTGAAACTCAGCAGCACACCGCAGCCAAACACAAAGCCAAGGAAACAAGCTCGGATGGCTATCTGAAAACACACCCAGAAGAGCCTCGGTCACTGCATGTTCCCTTAGCAGAGCCCAAACCCAGACTGCAGACTGTCCTGGATTAGCGAGGCCATCAGGGAGCAGAGTCCATTTGCTCAAGAGATAAAGAGGATGAAATGGGACTGCTTGGGTTCAAATTGTGTCTTACATTCCTCTCTCTCTTCTCTCTAGCCTTCGGCAAGTTATTAAATGAGTTTACCCATCTACACCATGGAAATAACAATACTGTAGGGCTACATAGTGGATTTACCACGCAAAACACCTAGAAACAACCAGTTTTAACGGCCACAATAATTATCATTATTACGGCTAGCATTACCAGGGCTTATCGATGGAAAACTGTTTAAGCCCAGTTTATGGCTCCCAAGTCAAAGAGTCTAATGAGAACACTCGGAACTCTGCGCCCAGTCACCTCCGTGAAGTGGGGCGTTTGACAAACAGGTAAAACACCACACCTGTCATTACATAAATTAAAAACTCGTGGGTTAGCTCACTTCCCACCTAACATGAATCTGCCGAAGCTGCTGATCAGCAGGAAACGCAATTAACACCCACAGATAGGAGAAGTGGGTCCCTTCTGTGACCTCAACTTAGGGCTGAGATACACGCCTGTAGGAGGCATCCCGCAACGTGGCGCGGGAATGGGGGGTAAAAGGAGAACCGAACACCGCATCACCGCCAGGCTAGGTAATACAGTGTTCCTTTAACCCGCTCCAGCTAGACTAGCTCCAATCCGGTCCCTGTCCGCTGTCCATCTACTCAGCCCTGCTTGCCGGTTTCTGGTCTCCGACCAGTCTACTTGGTTCTGATGTACCTGGCACGCCTACCCTTGCCGGGTCCACGCCTGATCGTCCCTGACCCCTGTCTACCCGGGCTCATCTGCCCTGACTCCAGCTCCAGTGCACCCGGGCCCTGCCCCATCGCAGCCAGCTCGGTCCTGCCTGGTCCCGGTCCACTCGACCCTAGTCCAGATCTACCAGTCCACCCTGTCGCTGATCCAGGTCTGGGGTGCTGGTCTACCGGTCCACCCTATCCGTCTCGCCCTGTCCCTAGTCCGGGACAACCAGTCACCTCGTCCCACCCGTCCCGTCCCCGGTCCACTCCTCCAGCCCTCCCGTCCTTCGTCCCGGTCCACCTGTCCCCGGTCTCGGTTCACTCGTCCGGCCCGCCCGTCCCCGATCCCGGTTCCGGTCCCTCCGCACCCGGCCCGCACCTGGTAGCGCGGCGGCCGGTAGAGCAGCAGCAGCAGCGCGTTGAGCCCGGCCACGTAGAGCGCCAGCCCGGTGCGGCCCTGCAGGCCGGCGCGCGTGAGCAGCGGCAGAGCGAGCACCGAGGCGCCAAGCAGGAAGGTAGCGAGGCTGAGGCGCGCCTCGGAGCCCGGCGGAACCCGCGCCGCACAGCCCGCCATGGCGCAAGGCGGCGGAAGAGCCGGCGGCGGACTAGCGGGTCGAAGCGCAGCCGACTGTAGCCGAGGAAACACGAAGGCCGCGCCTGCGCACTCCGCCGCCGACGCCGGCACGGGAAGGGCAGGTACCAGGAGCTGGGTACTAGCCGCCTGCGAGTTCTCGCGAGAATTGATGCCACGCATGGCTGAGGGCCGGAATTTGAAGCGAGCCGGGCACGCCCCCGCAGGCCCCGCCCCTCCGTCGCCAGGACAACCTGACGTCGACAGAGGGGCGGTGACGGGGCAGTCCGGAAGTAGAAGTTCATCCGGAGTTTAGAGCCTTGGTCCCAACTGGGCTTCACCGACCACACCCGCCTCCTAAGTGGAAATAAATACGTTTTTTTGCAGGCAGCGTGCCAAACTTTGCGGTGCTTGCTTTGGGGAAGAAGCGTAAGGCGAGTGAGCCTGGGAGAACGGTTGTGATCTAAAGGCGAATTCCTTTAGGTGGCTACATCCTGGACGACTTTTATTGACCTGTAGGTTTTGTATGTGTGTGTTTTCCATACTGCCTATAATGAAGATGTTACTGATAAAATCAGAAGTTCTCCTTCAGTTTTTGCCATTTTAAATGTATACAGTACTTGCACGTATTTATGTGGCACGACATGAGGTGGGTTCGACCAGTCTGGAATCCACCACCACGCAGAGATCCACCTGCCTCTGCCTCCCTAGTACTGGGATGAAAGGCACAGGCCCCACCACCCGGCCTTGTTTTGCTTTTGAAACAGTGCATCCTCTGCAGCCCAGAACAACTTTGAACTCACTTGGTATCTGGAAGATGCCCTGGATCTGCTCCTCTGGCCTCTTCCCCTCCGTGTAAGCCATCATTGTCGGGTTGGGGACTGAACTGAAGGCTTCTTGTATGATAGGCAAGCAGTTTACTGAGTTATATCCGCAGTCCATGGAGTGTGGGGTTTGTTTGGTTGGTTTGAGTCCAGGAGAGAGTCCCTAGGGTGCGAGACCTGCAGGATAGGAAGGGTGCGTGGAAGACTTTAGGAGCTGGCAGAACTTAGCAGCTCCTGGAAATGAGAGCATCATCGAGGAACCAAGAGCTGATGCTGGATTTGAAAGGCAGAGGCAGGAAGCAGCCAGCTTACACAAGATGGGAGACAGGCTCCAGGAGAAGCTGGGGCCAGGCTGCTGTGGTGAACCCTGCATGCAAACACACTGCCTGGCAGGAACTGTGATGTGTGGGCATGGGAGTGGGGAACCTGGTATCCCAGGCTCCAGTGCTCCATATCCTGTCTTGGTGACCACAGGCAGGCAACTTCTGTGACCCTCGTCTTCCTGTGAAACGGAATCCTTATTTCACTGTCTTGGACAATCATCCTTTGTCCTGCATAACCTTAATGTCACCTTGTTGTCACCTAGAGTCATCTGAAAAGAAAAGCCTTGATTGAGGAATGGCATACAACAGGCGGTCTGTGGGCAGGCCAATGAGGTATTATCTTGATTATTAATTGATATAGGAAGGCCCAGTCCACTGTGGGCGCTACCATCCCTTGACAGGTGTTCCTGAGCTATATAAGAAAGTTAAGCATAGGTGAGAACAGGCTGCTATAGAACAGCATCCTCCACGACTTCTGCTGAGCTCCTGCTTGAGGTCTTACCCTGATTTTCCTCGTTGGGTGACAGTGACCTGGTTGGATCAGAGTGACCAGAGCGAGGATACTCTACAAAGCCCAGCACTGTGTCCCAATCGTGCTTGGGAGACATCTGTTAAAGTGAGGTGACAGGAAGGAGAAAGATTTAATGGTTCGGTTATGGTAAAACCCCAGCAACATGCACACCCACACCCACACCAAATACGGCTTTCTAGTCTCCTTTCCACCACTGTGATGAAACATTGGCCAGAGGAACTTGAGGAGGAGAGGGTCATTTGGCTTAACAGTTAATTCCAGGTCTCAGGCCTTCGCTGATGGAAGTGAGGGCAGGAACCATGGAGAAACGCTGCTTTCAGGCTGGTTCACCTGCTCATCCTTAGCAAATTTTCTCAGACTGCCCAGTACTGTGGTGGTATTTTGTTTGTGTTTTAATAAATAAAGCTTGCCTGAAGATCAGAGTGCAGAGCTAAGCCACTGGAGGCCAGGCGGTGGCAGTACACACCTTTAATGTCAGGACTCGGGAGATAGAGACAGATAGATATCTGTTAGTTCAAGGCCATCCTGGGCTACATGAAATTGATCCAGTCTAAAAGAGAAACAGAGCTCATACAAAGGTGATCCAAGCACTTGAGGTCACAGGCCTTTAATCCCAGCACTAGGGAGATGGAGGCAGGAGTGATATGGCTGGGCAGAGAGAGGAATATAAGGTGGGAGGAGACAAGAGCTCACTACAGTCTGAGGCAGTGATCTGAAGCAATCAGTTTGAGGAGCAGTCTGAGGATGCAGTCTGGAGATACAGTCTGAGGATTTGTAGAGACAGGATCACCCTTTGGTCTGAGCGTTGGTAGAGGTAAGAACTCTAGTGGCTGCCGCTCTGCTCCTCCAATCCTTCAGCTTTCACCCCATGATATCTGACTCTACGTTTTTTTTATTAAGAACAATTAGAATGCTTGCTACATAGCACCACCAGCCTGAGGAATGTTGTGTGCCCCCCCCCCCCAGACATGCTCAGTCAGATCTAGGCAAGTCCTCAGTCGGACTTTCTTCTCTGATAACTAGGCTGTGTCAATTTGACACTAAAGGCTAAGCAGGACATAAAGGTGACTGAGTGGCTTAAAGCCTGAGTTCTGACTATTGCCTGTTCCTCATGGCTTCTCTAGACTCGGGCCTTTCCCCTTGAGCCAGAACACATCAGAGCCACTAGAGGGTGCTTGTTGTCCCTCACTCCAGGGAGGGCTCCTGACCTGGAGGCACAAAACCCTCTCTGGCAGAAGCCCCTTCTCAGGCCCTGAGCTTTTGATCTCCACTCTTAGGCAAGCAGTAAAGTGTAACTGGCCAGAGAGCTTGAGCAACTGTGTCCTCTGCCTGTCACCTCCCCCGAGGCCCCAGTCCTTCTTCAGCCTTATCCTGGAGGTGGGAGAAAGGGAAAGATGTTCTCTGCCGGGTGGAACTACACTTCAGGGAATGTGAAGTGTTAAGGGGATCGCTGGGATGGCTGAAACTGTTGGGGCCTAAAACTCATAGTGCAGTGATGGAGAGGTAACAGTCGCACAAAGGATGTGTATGCTCAGGAAACAGTTGTAAAGAGTACCCATATCCAGAGAAGCAATCACATCCAGACAGTGTCTATACCCAGGGGAACAGCCACACAGCACAGCACATGCACACCCAAACGTATAGCTACACACAAAGAGTATCTACACCCAAGGAAACAGTTATACACAGGAGTACAGATAACCAGAGGAACAGTCATGTGGAGAGCGTGTGTATATCCAGGGATGTGATCAAAGAGCACATGCAGACCCAGGGAAACAGCCACACACTGAGAGCGCTACATCCAGATGTGCACACGGAAACACAGGCTTGCTTTCCTACCAGAAAGGAAAGGAGTCTGACAGAACAGTCTCGCTGTGTCCCCAGCTGTCCTCCAAACACAAGGGGTGACAGATCTCCAGAATGGTAAAAAGGAAGGGGAAGTCCTGGGGTGCACTGCTCCTCTCTCCTTGAAAATAAGAAAGCGCTTGAGTGTTTTGTCCTACCAGCTTCCAAGCAAGCACAAAAGGAGCTCCTTCTCGGGCAGCAGGGTCCCTCCACAGCCCACAGCCTGTGCCTTCCCCCATCCTTAGATGCCACCATCACAGGCTAAAGCAGCCTTCCTGTCCGGGCCCCCTGGAGAGCTGTCTTGTTTCAGACATTAAGGAAACTGAAGCAGAGAAGCAGACAGACTCGGTCTGGGCAGGCTGACACTGCTTTATCAACAGCATGGAGCCCCAGTCTTTGCTCTGGGTGAAGGCTGCACGCACTTAGAGAGGCTGGAGACATGTCTGTACACATGCACACGGATGTAGGTAGCTACAGGAAGTTGCAGATATTTTCCGTTTGACTGGAAGCAGGGTGGGTTGTTTCTGTATCCAGGTATATTGTTTCTACAAGTGGATCAGAGTGGTCAGGCGGGGGCCAAGCAATTCTTGATGGCTAGGGACTATTGCCCGGTACAACTTGACTCAATTCTTCATGACTTGAGGCGATTACCAACCCTAAGAAACCACCTTAACATCTCCAAATAAAACCACAAGCTGAGATGAAATCATCTTCAGACTTTTTAAAGATTCATTTTTATTATTTTAAATGTGTGTGCACGTGCACGCGCATGTGCTTGCATGTGAGTGTAGGTGCCGTGGAAGCCAAAGGCGAGTTGAACCCCCTCGAGCTGGGGTTACAGGTGGCTGTGAGCTGTCTTCTGCAAGAACAATATACATTCTGAACCACTGAGTCACCTCTCCAGCCACCAGACTTTAGTTTCTGAAGCCGCATGAGTTTATTGAGTGAGAGAGATTATGAAGAAGAGACCAAGCCCAAGGCAGGTACAGGTGCACGGACAAGAAGAGCATTGACAAGCCCTTCACTCATCCTACACAGAACAATCCCAGGGTGGAAGCTGGCTCCTGTTATTTCATTCAAGCCTGGAGCCAAGCAGGAGAAGAGCCCAGGAGGCTCTCTCAGCACCCTCCCCAGTGATGGATGCCAGATCAGTCATCTGCAGAGGGCTGTTCCCCCCTCTGCAGTTTCTGGCTATTTAGGGCAGTGGGGAGGAGTCTGGCCAGCGTGGCTATGAGTCTCCACTAGAGATAGCCCAGTCTTCCAAAAGAAAGTTTTCTCTCCTCTTCTCTGGCAGTCACAGGCTGGAGGAATGAAAGCGGCTCTTTCCAGTCTGGTAAATGACGCGTGATTTATGAGTACATCAGCCCACTGCGCATAAGTCATATGTGCACAAAGGGGCCGGGTAAATATTTAAAGATTAGAGCCAGCTCCAGAGAGACATAAAAGGCCAGGACAAAGAGGTTCTCTCTGAATTCACTCTTCCTGAGCTGGGCTGGCCCGGTCAGTGTTGATGCACTCACTGAAGTCCCAGCCTTTGTCCCCTGAAGGGCCCTTGGCTGCTGTGCAATTCAAAGTCTCCACACAGCTAAACAGAGTTAAACAATCGCA